TAAATGGTTACAGTAAAGTTCAGTTTTTAAAAGATTCGGTTAAAGCCAAATGTTCATTACAATTGTATTTACCTGATTGGTATAATTTGTATTGAGCTACATTATTTGCATTATTTTATGTTCTCTCCTCTGTTCGACATCATTTGCATGACATCAATTCCATGTGTTGTCTTGCTTTGGAAACGGCGGACTTTGTCTATTATTTGGGGGTGAAATCCAAAATTATGCTGCATCTGAAGGTAGCTAAATGCAAGTCCACCAACTTGCATTTTACTGTCATTTGGAAATCTTATCCTCCAAATATAAATAAAGCAATTGGTGCTCTAATCTAAGGTGCTTTATGCAAAAGGAACCAATGATGACTTCAGTCCCATGTAGGGAGCAAAATTTATCCTAACAATTATCATTATTAAGAAGAGACAGGAGTGTTGTTCGGTAACATGCCAGCACACCTTTTGTGTGGGTTTATATATTATGTCTTATCATGCCTGTGAAGTACTTTTAATAGTAGCTAGCTTATTACATCCTGTGAGATTTGTGGCTAAGGCTGAATATGTATTATTTTATAATGTCTATTGTGTAAGTTGCTGACCCAGCATATCTGGAGGGCACCATGTTGGAAGGTTGATTTAAGTAGAACTCAGAATGGCATCTTGCTTCATGTACCTATTATAGCAGGGGTGTCAAATTCGATTTCATTGCGGGCCGCATCAGGGATGTGTTTGACCGGGGGGGGGGGCGCAGTGTGGGCATGGCCAGCTCGACGACACTCATGTCGGGGGCGCCTGTGGAGGCCTGAGCACTCTGCCAGTGAAAACGTGCTCCCAAGCTCCGTTTTCGGCTTCGTCAGTGGCCTTCGTCAACCGTCTGCCAGCGAAAATGCAGCATGTGAGGGCTGCTCGCGGCTCTCCCGAGCTCTGTTTTCGTAGGCAGAGGCACTGTGGGCTGGCCCTTCGCTGTTTCCAGGGTAGCCCTGCGGGCCAGATCTAAGCATCCTGCAGGCCAGATCCAGCCCCCTGGCCTTACGTTTGATACCCCTGTGTTACAGGGTTGCAAACAAAGTTAGTCATCAATAGCAGCAGTATTTATGGATTTTTTTTGTAAGTGAATTGGTGGACTTAGAACGACAACTACGTATAATGCATAAAAAGAATGAGTGATAGTGCTTTTATCATTGCAGTATAAACCTCTTTATACTGAATTGTTCTAAATGTTTTGAAGATTGTAAAATGTGTGGTACGATCTATAGTGACCGTGGAGCCTAAACAAGAATCTAATTTGGGGGTTCAGAAGTTCTTCATAATTTGGCATGATTAAAACTCTTTAACTCTTTAAAACTTTTCGCAGTTCTATGATAGACTGTCTGAATAATGTAATATAGTAGTCCTTGTTTAGTGACTGTTGATAGTGTTGATAGTGGGTTTCCCTTGCAGGCTTTTGTTGATGTAAAATAGAACTAATCACTATTGTGAATAGGGCCTGGCAGGTATCTTAACCAGGCTCATTCATTTGCCTCTGAAGTTTTTAGCTGCAATTTAATATATCAAACTACATCCAATTGTTAGTTTTTTTCTGGTGCTTAAAACTTGGTCTGAAAGGGAAAGTTAGCCATAGCAGATGAATGAAGAGAGCTCCAAAAGGGTGTGGTAACGTATTCTGGAAAATGCTGGGGATTCCGATGCTGGGTTGTCATCTGAGTGTTTATTCCCCAAATCACTTTTTAAAAAGTAAGATGTATGTACAAGCATTCCCAAACATATAGTTATAAGTTTGGGTGTGTAAAGATCAAGTAGGTCACCCTGACTCTGTTTAATTCTGAAACTAAATATAAGCTGTTTTCAGGTGGAGCACTTTAGAGTTAGCTATGTGTCACTGTCCTTTCAGATAAGGGTGTTGACAGCAATTGGAGCAACCTGACAGATCACAAGCAAGAGAATATACTGTATGTTTTTATGTGCTCAAACCTGCGTGTTTGAATATAGCTTGGTTTCCATGATATTTTAACCCTTTGGGTTCCATTTGTAGCCATGAAAAGAAAACCGTTCCTGCTAACTAGCAATTCTAGCATAATGTGATTATAGGACTACTCTGAAACTGGGTATTTATGAAATGGAAGAGAGCTCCCATAATGGCAGATTTCATTCTGTGTGTTTCATAAATTTTAACTATGGCTAAATCAGTCTGGACTTAAACACTAATTGCCATTTGTCCAGCTTTTGGCCTTAGGCAATGTCCTAGTATTTTTGGCTTCAAGGTGCTAGGACTTTTTATCCTGAACATCCAGCCTCCTGTGCCAGGGACTGCTTGTGGTACAGCAGAATATATTTAGTCCATGATTACTTGATTGTGGATTGTGCAACATGATGCTTCAATACTTCCTTGACTGGAAACTGTGGTTTGTGTTGAAAGAGCATGAGAAAAACAATGTCTCACAAACAATGTAGGTAGCTAAACATAAATCTGTGGAAGCCACATAAAAACTCATCCTGTGACTATGACCCTTCAGAATAAACAAAGAGGCCTTTAGCCCAGATTCAAAAATACTGTATAGGCTTTAGACTTAGTGGAGGATCCTTTGGGTTTCTTAAAGAGGAGTAGGTACTTAACTAGAGGGACGCGGTGGCTCAGTGGCTAAGACGCTGAACTTGTTGATCAGAAAGGTCGGCAGTTCGGTGGTTCGAAACCCTAACGCCACGTAACAGAGGGAGCTCCCGTTACTCGTCCCAGCTTCTGCCAACCTAGCAGTTCGAAAACATGTAAAAAATGCAAGTAGAAAAATAGGAACCACCTTTGACGTTTAGTCATGCCAGCCACATGACCACGGAGATGTCTTCCGACAGTGCTGGCTCTTTGGCTTTGAAACGGAGATGAGCACTGCCCCCTAGAGGCGGGAACGACTAGCACATATGTATGAGGGGAACCTTAACCTTTAGGTGCTTAACTAGTTTGGCCTGTAGCAGCATGTTGAGATCAGACAATGATCAACCCAGTCATTTGGGGGGGAGGGGCTGTCTTTTCCTTGGGTTTGCATGCAGCCACAGTAAATTTTTCGTGTAATCACCTGAATTGTTTTATATGCTTGAACATGGCTCCTGATTAGTTCAGACTGCCTGCATACCGTAGATGAATGCCAACGTAGCTTTTTAATTTCTTAAGTACTATTAAGTGATTATGAAGGGAATAGAGGATTGTGTTTCTTTCTAAGCCTCATGTTCCTTTTAACCAGACCTTGAAATAAAGATCCTGTATTAAGGTCGGATTTATGATTAGAACTGCCAGGAAAAGACAAATTCATGAAGAAGAGGCAGCCATGCTGTCGCTTGGGTAACCTATCTGCATAAGTGATATGTGGAAATGTAGGATTTGGATTCCTACAATTTTATTTTGATTAAAAACAAAAAAACCCACCAGCTTGAACAATACTTTCTTCACTGGTTTATATCGTCATCTTGTAGAGGAAAGTGTTAGGGTTATATTGTAATTTCTAGAAATACATATAGTTCTTGACTTAAACCACAATTGCTAAGTGAGACATCGCACAAAAAATGATCATATGACCCTAGGACACTGCAACCTTCATAAATAAGAATCAGTTGTCAAGCATCTGAATTTTGGTCCCTTGACCATGGGGATGCTGCAATGGTTTGCAAGTGTGAAAAACAGTCATAACAGTGGNATTTATTAAACGAATGTGAATTCCTCTCATTCACATTCAGCAAAGGCCTGGTAAAAAGTCTTTCAAAGGTGAAGTTATGACCACAGACCTTATCTATTTTGGAAAGCTGCCATGTAAATATTTTCCAAATGAGGTGCTGTGCCAGGAAAGATTGGGCACAGAGTCTCTGAGATTCACGGACAGATCTTCACACTCCTGAAACAAACTAATGACCAACCGAATGAATTGTTTCCTGCAGAAGCCCACTCCCATTTCGCTCCTCTTTTATTTCTTATGGGAGGGGCCATTCACCGTCCACCTGGGGCTTTACTCCCAAGTCAACCCTTGTTCCTTAATTGTTCCATTCTCCTGGCAGTTCTACGCATGCGTACACTGGGAACAGGCTCCAGCTGTTCCTCTGCCTCACTGCTGTCTGATTCCGAAGGCAGCTGAGAACTGCCAGATGGCCTTGGCCCCCTCTCTGCTTCCGACACAGAGCCCTCGTCCGAGCCTTCCCCAGCCTCCAGGACTGGCCCATGTTCCTCCCCAACCTCCTCACTGTCCGACTCTGCTGCCAGCTCTACTGACAGGCCACGACATCTATTGAGAATTAGTGTAGGTCTGCATCCATTAAAAACCTTTGCCGTTTTATTTATTTCTCAAATTTCTACCCTTCCCATCTCACCTAAGTGATTGGCCGCTTTATAATAACCGTTTTACGGAAGATGGGAGTAAGAAGTAGAATTTTGTGCCTATTTACTCTGATCAGTTCCTAGATGAGCATGGATGTGTTTACTGGACACAGATTTCAGAATAAGCATACAGGTAGTCCTTGACTTACAATAGTTCATTTAGTGACCATTCAAAGTTACAACAGCACTGAAAAAAGTGACTTATGACCATTTTTTGCACCTATGACCATTGTGGCATCTCCATGGTCCTGTTGGCTGCTTAACGACTGGTTCATATTTATGACGGGTACAGTCTCGCAGGGTCACACGATTCCCTTTTGCAACCTTCTGACAAGCAAAGTCAATGGGGAAACCAGTTTCACTTAATGACCGTGTTACTAACTTTATAATGATTCACTTAACAAATATGACAAGAAAAGTCATAAAACGGGACAAAGCTCACTTAACAACATAAATGTTGGGCTCGATTTCAGTCGTAAGTTCAAGAACTACCTGTACACAATAAATCTGAGGATGAATTAGAGATGTCTTTTATTGCTCGCCAATTCAAAATTTTCTCCCTATATTTGTTGCTAATACGGTGTGGAGAACAAATATTTTAGGGCAATGAGAGAAAATGCTTTGCCTTGACTTTAATATTTTCTCTTTCACAGGTATAGCCTTCACAGACCTTCCTGTAAGTACAACTTTTGTTTTATATTTCAACAAAAGATTGAAAGCATGGGGGTGGGAATGGAGGGAAAGGAGCTTGGGATTTGTCTTCTCCTTGTGTCTCATCTGGAAGTGATTAGCATGAGGCTAGTAGCTTGGATGGCGCTCCCATGGCAATAAAAAAGGCAGGTTTTGTAGAGAAATTAGTTCCCTCCACAAGCTTTGGCTTCAGAAAGTGGGTGAGGGGCAAATTGTGAGCAAAAGCTTTTCCACACATTAGAAGATTTTAAAAAACCCTTTTTTAGAGAAGCGATTTGGGAAGGATGCTCTTAAAATAAGCAACATGGGTCCCTTAACCTGAAATGAAAATAAGCCTTTTCTGCTGCTGCTTTCTCTGCTTTAAGTATAGTAAAAAAAACAAAAAACAAAAAAAAACCCTACACCTTGGTGAATTGTTAAAGCAGAATACAATCAGTAACCAAAGTGGAAATGCCTAGATTCCGAATAAAACATGTCTGGGGTGCAGACAGTTTCGTGAATCGCTTGTTGGCGTGGAAATGAATTGGCTGACTTCAGAGGCCATCATAAATCAAGCTTGGATGCTTTTCATTCAGCAAGTTTTTAAAAAAGTTTTACTAAATGTGTTACCACAGGTAGTGAGATTATGTGTTGCAACCGAGATTAATTTTGGAGAGGATTCATGAAGGTGATTCTTTGAAAGCTGCTTAGTCTTGGGCATTCTGCTCTTGAACGCCAGTAAAGATATATATTGCGTGAACTTCAATTAACTCCACAGTATGGGGCATAATAGGTTTTAATCTTTAAAAATTACAGATAACTAAGGGGCTGGCATATTTTTATTTATCACCCAGCCCTGTGACAAAATGAAAGCAACCACATATATTGCTGGAGTGGGATACATTGTTCTTTTTTGTACATTTGTACATTTTGATACAAAATGTCCTTAGGTGCTGAAAAAGTTCCTGAAATTGGATAGGGGGGGGGGGACACACATAAAAACTTCGCAAATAAACAAAGAACAGAGGCCAGCACCATTGACTCAGCTACCTTGCAACAGATTGTTTTGCAGCTCAAAATAGAAGAATTTTGACTGGATGAGAAACTCATGCTTATTTCCAAATCGGAGCAGCTTCATTCCCGTTTTCTTTAGCAATGTGTCTTTCTAAGCAGCTCCCGAATGTGGCATCTTGAAAGATACACCTTGCATCATGCTTGCCCCATTCCCAAAGTTAACTAAACTGTTCAAAATATCATGAGAAAATAGAGCACGCTAATTTCTCCTTTGGTGAACGTTAAAGGATTTCTGTTGAATGAAGCATACGCTATAGCTACAACTTGCTACATTTTCATTGTCTGCATTTTGGAAAATTTGATAGCCCCTTCAAATGTCTATAGTCTCCTTATCTAGGTATACTTGTTTTCCATCAATTCCTAATATCCTAAGCTGCAAACAATCACTTTTAATTTTGAGAAGTTTTTCTTGTACAGGTAGTTCTCAGCGTACGACCAAAATTAAGTCCCAAATTTCTGTTGCTTAGCAAGACAGCTAAATGAATTTTGCCCCATTTTGTGACCTTTGTTGCCACAATTGCTAAGTGAATCATTGCAGTTGTTAAGTTGATAGGACGGTTGTTAAATGAATCTGGTTTCCCCGTTGTCATTCCTTGTCAAGAGGTCACAAAAGGGGATCACACGATCCCAGGACACTGCAGCCATCATAAATACATGCCAGTTGCAAAGTGCCCAAATTTCGATCAGGTGACCATGGGGGTGAGGCAACACTCATTTAACAGTTGAGATGGTTATGTTTTCGTTTTCGTTTTAGTTTCGTTGCAACTTTGAACAGTGACTAAACGAATGGTTGCAAGGACAACCTGTGTTACGCTGACTCTTCCCAAATGATTTTCAGGGAAAGCCGTTTTCCCCAAAGCACCCATCGTGTCCATCTGGCCAGGAAGCCCCCTTGTTCAGGCTTCCATTACGACCCTCTTCAAAAGGAGGGTGGGGGAATGTATGTCTCTGCTTTCTTTTCTTAAAGAGCCCGGGTTTTTTAACTTGGGCTTCTTTTTTTGGCAGGCCAATCTATATCCCACTGTGGGGCTCCAGACACCCGGAGAGATTGTGGATGCCAACTTTGGGCAACAGCCATTTGTGTTCGACATTGAAGACTATATGAGAGAGTGGCGAGCAAAGATTCAGGGCACGATTAAAAGGTTTCCCATAGGTGACCGGCTAGGGGAATGGCAAGCCATGCTACAGAAGTGAGTGGCAGCTTGGATTGCCTTTACGTTAAATTCA